CCTTGTAAATTATTCATTTCAGTTAGTGGATCCTTAATTTCTGACTGGTCCTTTTTTATGTCATTGTTTTTACTAAGTTCCCCAAAGCTCTAAGTTCCCTAAAAGTACTCCCTAAGTTCCTTGAAGTTCTCATTAAGTTCCTTGAGCATCCTTGTAACCACTGTTTTAAACTGTATCTGGTAGTTTGCTTCCTTCTATTTCATTTAGTTCATTGTCTTGAGATTTCTTCTGTTCTTTCATTTGCAACATGTTTCCTTGTCTCTGCATTTTGGCTGCTTACCTGTGTTTGTTTCTATGTATTAGGTAGAACTACTATGTCTCTTGGAATTGGTAGAGTAGCCTCTTGTAGTAGGTGTCCTGTAGGGCCCAGTGGCTCAGCCTCCCCAGTCATCTGAGCTGGGCATTCTGGCTGTGCCCCTATGTGGGCTGTGTGCACTGTCTTGTTGTAGTTGAACTTTGATTGCTGTTGGTGTTACTGGGAGAAATTGACTCCCAGGAGAATCAGCTGTGAGGACCAGCTGCAACTACAGTGGGAGAACTGCTATGCAGGAGATGCCCCTGTGGAGCAAGACATGCTTCAGTGGGGCTTTGGTGCTCACCAAGTCCATCCTTTGAGTGTGTCACTGGTGGATGTAGTCAAGTTGTAATCTGGCATGGTCTGAAGCTGACCATTAGGTGCACTGGTTCTGGGCCTCCCAGGGGGTACAATGTCAGCCACTGCCTGTGCCCTGCCTGAGGCCACCTGGCATGAGCTACAGAGTGACCTGCAGATGGCTGCTACTTATGTTGGGCTTGGAGGTGTCTAGGAGAGGCCAACCTATGAACCTTGCCAGGCTGTTGCTACTCCAGCGTCTGGGGCCACTTACCGAGAGGTATGGAAGCTGAGGCCAGCTGCTGCTTGTTTGAGAGATTTTAGGAAAGTCTGAAGCCTAAGCCAGGACAGTCATATTTAAAACCCACTGCAAACAGCTTGGGTGGAGCTGCAAATTGGTGGGGCAGGGTCTCAGGGTATCACCAGGGAGGTGGGGTTAATAGTGTGGGCCAGGTTAGTGGAAGCTCAGATATGGCTCCTGTCTGTTGGTTCTGTGGTGGGGGAGGGCTCTGATGAGGAACAATGACCTCTGCCAGCACTTTTGTCTGGGAGAAAGCTGGCCCCCACCTCCAGCCCTCCTACTGGTTTCTGATTTCCAGTCTTAAATCTAAGTCTTTAATCCAGTCTCAGTGTGGCTTCTTTAATTCTCTATTTATAGGGCTTCCATTCAGCCAGATTTCAGGTGGTTCTGAATGATGGTTATTCTGTGGCTTAGTGGTAATATTGATATCTAAAATCACACTTATGTTTAAATAAATATTCATAAATTTTTATCTAAATATATAGTTAATATACAATATTACTTTAGTTTTGGGTATATAACATAGTTATTCAACATTTGTATACCTAAGGAACAGATCATCACAATAAGTCTAGTAACCATATGGCACCATATATGGTTACTGTGATATTACTGACTATATTTCTTATACTGTGCATTATATTACCATAACTTATTTGATAACTGGAAATTTGTTCCTCTTATTCTTCATTTTTCCCCCTCCCCCCTACCCTCTTCCCCTCTGCCAACCATCAGTTTGTTCTTCATGTCTATGAATCTGTTTGTTTTTTATTTGTTTTATCTTATAGATTCCACATGTAAGTGAAATTATCTGGTACTTCTCCTTCTCCATATGACTTATTTTACTTTGCATAATACTCTTCTAGGTCCATACATGTTGTCACAATGGCAAGATTTCACTTCATTCTGTTTTATGGCTGAGTAATATTCCATTGCATATCCATCTATTGATGAACATTTAGGTTGCTTCCATATCTTGGCTATTGTAAATGATGTTGCAATGAACATAAGTGTGCAAATATCTTTCCAAATTAGTGTTTTAGTTTTCTTCTGATAGATACCCAGAAGAGGAATTGCTGGGTCATATGGTAGTTCTATTTTAATTTTTTTAAGGAACCTCTATATTGGCTTCCATAATGGCTGTACCAGTTTGTAATCCCACCAACAGTGCATGAGGTTCCCTTTTCTACAAATCCTTGCCAACATTTGTTTATTGTCCTTTTGATACTAGCCAACCTGACAGGTGTGAGGTGATAGCTCACTGTGGTTTTGGTTTGCATTTCCCTGATAATTAGTGGTGTTGAGCATCTTTTTATGTGTCTCTTGGCCATCTGCATGTTTTCTTTGGAAAAATATCTACTCAGATCCTCTATCCATTTTTTAATTAGATTTTTTATATTTTTGATATTGAGTTGTATGAGTTCCTTATATATTTTGGATATTAACCCCTTATTGGATATGTCATTTTCAAATATTTTCTCCCATTCAGCAGGTCATCTTTTAGTTTTGTTGACAGTTTCCTTCACTGTGCAAATGCTTTTTAATTTGGTGTAATCCCATTTGTTTATTTTTGCTTTTGTTGCCCTTGCTTGAGGAGACATATCCAAAAAGATATTTCTAACACAAATATCAAAGAGTTTACTGCCTATGTTTTCTTCTAGGAGTTTTCTGATTTCCAGTCTTAAATGTAAGTCTTTAATCCCATATTGAAATAAAAGTTCAGGATATGATTGATTATCCCAATAGTACCTACATCAGATATTAATAAGAAAACCAGTAATGTCCATTAAGTTTCATCAGTCATTTAGGTAAGTGTGTGTAGGCCCTTGAGCCCAATAGTACCCAGGGCACAGCTATGTTCTATAAGTAAGTCCCAAATGTTTTGGGTTAAAGTACACTTAATCCATTACTTTGTGTGCAGTTGGTGTTAGAAGGTGAAGCATGTTCAGCAGTAGCTTGAACCAGAGCAAACAAGTTGGAGCCACATGACCTTACAGTAGGATACTTTCAGTGATTTGAAACACTTCTGTGCTGTGTATTATTTTGGAACAACCACTGATGTTGGGGTTCCCTCTACTGCATGACAACAGCTATGGGGGTGGGGGAGGGTTTCTTTTATTCTTATCTCTTCTTATTTCCAATCTAAAGGATTTATAGGAATGCTCTATCAAACATTGGTTTATAAATCATGATTACCTGTCTTTTCCAAGCAATAACCCTATCAGGAGAATATAAACTCAGATATTTCTCTGGAGGTAATCTTTTTATTTCAATTATAGTTGACATTCAATATTATGTTAGTTTCAAGTGTAGAGCATAGTGGTTAGACATTCATATAGCATATGCAGTGATCCTCCCATAAGTCTAGTAACACCCTGACATTGTACATAGTTTTTACAATATTACTGACTATATTCCTTATGCTGTACTTTATATCCCTGTGACTATTTTGTAACTGCCAATTTGTACTTTTTAAAAAATATATTTTTATTGGTTTCAGAGGGGGAAGGAGAGAAAGAGATAGAAACATCAATGATGAGAAAGAATCATTGATCGGCTGTCTCCTGCACTAGAGATCAAGCCCAAAGCCCAAGCACGTGCCCTGACCAGGAATTGAACCATGACCTCTTGGTTCCTAGGTCAATGCTCAACCACTGAGCCACGCCAGCCAGGTCAATTTGTACTTCTTAATCTCTTCCCCTTTTCATCCAGCTCCCTAGCCCCACACCCACCTGGCAAGCATCAGTTTGTTCTCTGTATCTATAAGTTTGTTTGTTTATTTTGTTTTCTGGATTCCACATATAAGTAAAATCACATGGTATTTGACTTTCTCTAACTTATTTCATTTTGCATAATACCATCTAGGTCCATCCATGTTGTCACAAATAGTAAGATTTCATTCTTCCTCATGGCTGAGTAATATTCCATAATACTAGTATTATTTGTACCCCCTCTTCTTTATCCAAATCCTGCTCCATGGCATCAACCCCTGTACACAGTGCGTCTGCTGTACTCACAGCCATTCCACACAGCTAATCAGCCTGAAAGCCAATACCTCCCCTTAACATACCAATAGCAATCAAGTCTCACCTGCAACAGAATGGCACACACAACCCACACAAGAGACACCCCTGGAGTACCTGGCACAGGTGACATGGAACACTGCACCACTGGGTCCAACAGGACACCTACAACATAAGGCCACTTTACCAAGATCAGGAGATGGAACATATCTACCAAATACCCAAATACAAGGAAACACACAAAGAGAAGCAGCTAAAATGAGGAAACAAAGAAACATGACCCAAGTGAAAAAAACAGGGGAAAAAAAATCCAGAGAAAGAACTCAACAAAACAGAGGCAAGCAATCTACCATATGCAGAATTCAAAATACTTTGATTAGGATGCTCAAAGAACGTAGGAAAAACATAGATAAACTCAGAACATTAATAAAGAGATAGGATCTTTCTCTTCAATGAGGTGGCAGAGAAGCCTCCCCAGCAGATGCAGAGATGTAGATCTTTGTGAAGTGTGCAGAACCAGTTCAGCCAAGGGTTCAAAAACCTGAGTGTGGGTGGTGAAAGGATGAAGAAATGACAAAGAGAATAAGCTGGGTCTAGGTCAGCCGTGGGCAAACTATGGCCCGCGGGCTGGATCCGGCCCGTTTGAAATGAATAAAACTAAAAAAAAAAAAGACCGTACCCTTTTATGTAATGATGTTTACTTTGAATTTATATTAGTTCACACAAACACTCCATCCATGCTTTTGTTCCAGCCCTCCAGTCCAGTTTAAGAACCCATTGTGACCTTCGACTCAAAAAAGTTTGCCCACCCCTGTTCTAGGTGGATCTTCCTGTGCCTGGCAAGCTGAGCCTTTATTTTATAGCCAGAGGTAAACAAGGTAGTGGTCACCATACTTACAATGTTCTTGTGAGTTTCACTTGTTTTGGCAGCACTTGCTGAACCTCCCACAGCTCATTAGCTACCTAGGAAGGATCTAGGGAGCGTCATAAGGTCAAGCCTAATTATGCTAAGAGGACTGTGCCCTCTAAGCTGGGACTTGTTTGTGGCTTTGCCAACAGGTCAGTCCGAGGCTTAACCCTATAGCCGCGCCCTACAGTGAAGACCCTGACTGGCAAGGCCATCACCCTTAAGGTTGAGCTCAGTGATGCCATTGAGAAAGTCAAAGCTAAAATCCAAGAAAAGAAGGGCATCCCGCCTAACCAGCAGCATATGATTTTTCTGGCAAATAGCTAGAGGATGGTCACACTCTGACTACATTATTAGAAAAATAGCACCTTGTACTTGATGCTTCATCTGTGGGATGGCATCATCGAACCCTCCTTCCACCAGCTTGCCCAGAAGTACAAATGCAACAAGATGATCTACCAAATGTGTTACATTCAGTTGTATCCTCACGCTATCAACTGCCACAAAAATAAGTGCAGCCACCAAAACAACCTGTGCCCCAAGAAGGTTAAATAAGGCCCCTCCACCAGCTCCTCGACTGCAGGGAAGTCTTCTGTCTGAATCCCAGAACCCTGGGGCCTCAATAAAGTTACCCTTTCATTGACTAGAACAGTAAAGAAAATCAAAAGAAGAGATGGGGAACATAAAAATGGAGATGGGAAAAAAAAAGAATCAATCAAATGAAGAATACAATAACTGAAATGAAGAATACATTCGAGTGAGTCTAGAGTAGATTTCATGAAGCAGAGGATCAAATCAGCAATTTGGAAGACAAGGTAGCTGAAAATTGGAACAGCAATAAATATATCAATTTTTTTAAATGCTGATAGCTTAAGAGACTTCTGGGACAACATCAAGCATAACAACATTCAGATCACAGTGGTACCAGAAGAAGAAGAAAGTATAAGGGATTAAAACCTATTTACAGAGGTACGAATGAAAAATTTCTCTAACCTGGTGAAGGAAACAGACACACAAGTCCAGGAAGTGCAGAGTCCCAAAGAAGATGAACCCAAGAGGCCCACACCAAGATACATCATAAGTAAAATGGCAAAGGTTAATGACAAAGAGAGAATCTGAAATGCAGCAAGATAAGAACTACTACTTACCTGCAACAGAGCTCCCATAATCATCTGATTCCTTAGTAGAAACTTTGCAAGGTAGAAGGGACTGGCACCAAATATTCAAAGTGATGAAAAGCAAGGGCCTACTGGTATATCAAGATTACTCTACTCAGCAGGGCTATTACTTAGAATAGGAGAGATATGAGCTTTTCAGAAAAGAAAAAGCAGGAGTTAATAACCACCCAACAGTATTACAAGAAATGTTAAAAAGACTCAAGAAAAAGAAGGTGTGAGTGTGGGTGTGGGTTTGGGTGTGGGTGGAGGTAGAGGTGGAGGTGGAGGTGAACATATGAATAATAAAATGGCAATAACTACAAACCTATCAATAATTACTTTAAATGTAAATGGGTTAAATGCTCCAATCAAAAGACACAGGATGGCTAAATGGATAACACAGCAAGACCCATACATATGCTGCTTACAAGAGACCTCCTTCAGATCTAAAGTAAAGGGATGAAAAATGATATTTCATGCAAATGGAAATTTTAAAAACTGGTATCACAATACTTATATCACACAAAATACACTTTAAATCAAAGGCCATCAAAAGAAACGAGGAGGACCCAGCAATTCCAATTCTCAGTATTTATTCAAAGAAACATAAAACACTAATTCTAAAAGATATATGCATCACTATGTCCATTGCAGCATTAATTACAACTAGAGGCCCAGTGTGGGAATTCGTGCACCAATGGGGCCACTCAGCCTGGCCAGTGGGATCAGGCTGAAACCGGCTCACCGACATCCCCCAAGAGGTCCAGACTGCGAGAGGGTGTAGGCCAAGCCAAGGGATCCCACTGGTGCTGGGGAGGGATGCGGGAGATTGGCCAGCCAGGGAGGGGTTGGGGGAGGGCTCCAGGGCGTGTCTGGTGCATCTTGCTCAGTCCCGGACCCCAGCAGCAAGCTAACCTACTGGTCGGATCATCTGCCCCCTGGTAGTCAGTGCACATCATAGCGACTGGTGTACTGTCTGCCCCCTGGTGGTCAGTGCATGTCATAGCGAGTGGTTGAGCGGCCTTAGCATATCATTAGCATACTAGGGGGCCAGTGCACGAATTCATGCACCTTGAAATGAACCATGGGCCTAGAAGCTGCGGCAGGAATAGGGGCAGGTCTCAGCCCATATCCACGCCCCTACCCAACCCCTCCCCCCAAGGCCCTCAGTCCATTGTCTGCCTCCAGCTACAATCCTGCTGCCGCCACTCCCACATACTGATGGTGCCAGCCCCACTTGCACCCACTGACAGAGTGGAGCAAATGGGGCTGGCACTAGCAGCAGGTGCAAGCGGGGCCGGCACCGGCAGCGAGTGCAAGTGGTGGCTACTGCCCTGATTGCCCCTCAGGAGCATGGGGAGGTGGAGAAGCCCTGAGGGGCAATCAGGGACAGCAGCCACTGCTAGCACACGCTAATGGCGCCAAGCGATCGGTGCCATGCCAGGCGCCATCAGCAGGTGTGAGCGGGGCCAGCACTGGCAGCAGGTGCAAGCACCGGGCGGGACCACGGCGCAGGGGAGCAAAGAATTTTTAGTAACCACCAGAGGCTCCCCCCAGTGACAACAACCGGTGCCCCGCCTTGGTCTGGTGCCCCTGCTCACCTGCCCCACCATCCCGCCGTGGCCAACACCCACCATGTTCTCTGCACACCACCTGATGGTCAGCACACATCATAGCAACCAGTTGTTCTGTTGTTCCAACGTTGGGTCTATTTGCATATTAGCATTTTATTATATAGGATTACACTTTGATTTGTGGAACAAATGACTGGCCGACTGGACACTTAGCATATTAGGCTTTTCTTATATAGGATAGCCAAGACATGGAAGAAACCGAAGTATCCATCAATAAATGAGTGGATAAAGAAAGTGTGGTACTGCAAACAATACAATTCTGCTCAACCAAAAGAGAGAATGAAATCTTGCCATTTGCAACAACAGATAGAACTAGAGGGCATTATGCTAAGTCAAATAGCTCAGATGGAGAAGGACAAGGACCATGTGATTTCATTTACATGTGGAATCTAAAGAACAAAATTAACCAACAAACAAAACAGAAGCATATTCACAGGTGCTGAGAACATTTTGAAGGGAGGTGGGAAGGATGTGGGGAAAAGTGGAAGAGATTAATATCTACAAATTTTCAATTATAAAAACAGCCATAGGGATATAAAGTCAATAATATTGTAAGAACTACGTATGGTGTCAAATGGGTACTAGACTTATCGAGGTAATCAATTTGTAAGTTATATAAATGTTTTATCACCATGTTGTACATCTGAAACTAATATAACAATTGTATGGCAACTGTAATAAAACATTTTCTTAAATTATTTTTTTAAAAAGAACAGAAGATTCCTTCTGTCCATGGAGACACAGGGAAATGACTACACTCCAAAAAAATATCAGCCCCAGAAAAACCAGCTCTGTCCAAGCCCAGCCATTCTAGCATTTTGCATTAATTGCACCTGGTGGGGGATTTTCACTGCTGATTCAAGATACCAAGGTACTCCTGTTCCTCCTCGCCCATAAAACTCAAGAGACGTGCCTTCCCATTTCAGAACCAAAGCCAAAAATTTTTCAACAAGCCCCAAGAACATTACCTTGTATACATTATACTGCATGTTTATTTAAATATGTAACGTTTTAAAATATAAAACTAGAACTGGCTCCATTCTGGCATCAACCCACAACATGATCAGTACAACACACTGTCATTTTATAGGGGCTAGGTTATGGAGAGGGCAGTGAGAGCTACTAGGAATCTGCTTATACTCAGACAAGCAGTTATTGGGGCATTCAAGCAAGTGAGGGGTACATTCTGTTGGCAGGAGGATTCATCATGGGAGAGAAAAGGCCAGAAGGAGACTCACTATAAGGAAGGAATACCCAATAAATTCTTGGGAGGGATTAAGAGAGGCAGGAGGCAGCTGTGGGGTCAGCTGGTGGCTACACTCATCATGTGGTTCCCTCTGGTGGTTTGCAGATCAACATGGAATAGAGAAAAGAGGGTCAGTGCTAGAATCATCCTGAGCCTTCAGATAACAAAGGAGAGCCTGTCTAAAGTGTTCAGAAATGTCAGAGACGTATATGTCCTCAGAGTGGGACTCCCCTGTCTCTTTAGGTGTCAGCTCCCAGCCATCCTCAGGGACAAAGCCTCTTCGCATCCATCTCTGTCATATCACTGACCCCTGAAGTCCTCCCTATCCAAAAGGATTGAGGTTTCCATGGAGATAAGTGGGTTAAGAACTAGTGACATCACTGACCAGCCTGATACACAACACAACTCATCACCTGGACCCCATGTAAAGGCTGTCCTTGCCCACCCACCTTATCCTTAGGCTTTTATTATATAGGCACCTGCTGCTGGTGCCGGCCTCAATTGCTCCAAGCCATCAGCGGGTGCGAGTGGCAGCTGCCAGCCCCGATCGCCCCTCAGGGCTTCTCCACCTCCCCCTGCTCCTGAGGGGCAATCAGGGCAGTAGCCACCACTTGCACCTGCTGACAGCCCCGGCCCCGCTCCCACTGCTGCTGGTGCTGGCCCCAACTGCTCCGTGCAGTCAGCAGGTACGAGTCAGTAATACCAGTACCTGCCCAGCTGATTCTTAGGGCGTTTGCCAGGGGGAACAATTTGCCATCTGACCTCCAGGATGCCCCCCCATCTTCTGACTGTAGCCTGTCAGGCCAGAAGTACACCTGTGAAGGTTCTGTTCTGCACAGCTATCTGTCCACCAGGCCCACCCATCTAGGGCCCCAGATGCCAGGATCATACAAATGTTAAAGAATAAAGAAATGTCCACATGCCTAAAGGACAGACACCCCCAATCCATCTGTAGGAAGAGGGGCCAGAAATCACCAACATTTATGGGATTCTTTGGCCGAAAGAATGGACCAACCTGATTAAGAGCAATGCAATGATTCAGAATGACCATGGTCTATGCAAGGCCCGCAGCCCCAGATGCCTCGCTCCCAATTCACATAGAGCCTCCCATACATATGCCCACTGATGCCTGAATATCCCTGCTTCACACGCACATACACTGAGACACACACACACAAGTGGGGTGCTGGTGAATGCTGATCACTCTCAGGAGGATGCAGGAAAGGCTTCAATTGTGGTGAGCACCTGGTACAAATATTCCCAGCATGCCTAATTTCAAGCTACCCACCTGATGAACACAGAGCCCCAGAGAGACATGCACCATCAACTATCCCAAGCTAGTATGAGCCAGTTCCAGCACACCCCATCCCCTGTCAAATGATTATGTGCATACAATGCACTTACACCCTGCCTAGGAACCTCCACTCCCACCCAGATATATAAACAAAAATGAATTTACATATATGAACACACATGTACATTTCTACCCTCACTCTCCTGGAATATACAGATAGACCACCTCTTACTACCTAAGTTGTTACAAACAAACCCCTAATCATCCGGAATATTCACATTCTACACCTACAATTATATACACACACACACTACATGGGCCTGTATACAAACATGGGCAACCAACATACTACCCAGATATACACACTGAATACTGAATACTTCAGACCCTCTAAAAATACAAGTAGACAACTGTCTCATGTGGCACCCAAAAAAAGATCCATATGCAACTCCACAGCCATAAAATGCACACGCTCCATATGCAACTCCACAGCCATAAAAATGCACATGCTCCACAATTCCTGAACACACACACACACACAACCTACACAGTCTCTTTGTTTCCAAACACAAAGTGAACTCTCACATTCCCTAGAACACACAGCCCATCCATAAGCTCCAAACTCAAATACATAGAGTGACAAACAACCTCTACTTATCAAATACATATAAGCCCACCTCACACACAGAGAGGACACATACAAGCAATACCACCAAATTCTGCAAGCATTACATTCTGGAACAGATGCAAAGAGGACCCTAAGCCTCCTGATACACTCACAAATCCCAAATACACATACCCACAAACCACTCACGAATATACACCCCACACACTCAGATGGATACATGCAAAACACAAAAGCACTGACAATCCCTTAACTCTCACTAATATGCATACACTATTCTCACACACCTATGGAAACACACACGCTTGCAAATATTCTCAAGCCCTGAATATACAGACCCCTCAAACACTATACATTATGCCACCTCTCCAGAATACAACCTCGTCACCTCGCCTCTTCAGTATGTAACAAAAGCACACTATACACATTGTTTTCTCTGGCATCACTCTGAATATACAGACCACTGCTTGCTAACTACTACCAAATACATGTAGAAACACTTTAGTATTCTCCAAAGAAATACACTTTATGTACATCTAAGAACCCCATACACCGTATGAACAAACTGATAATTCATGCACCTGGTCATAGATATAAACACAGACCAGTATACCTGGGCAAGACATGTAGATATATCCCCAGGAAACCACATATAAAACAACTTCCAAATTCCAAATTACCCCTAGCGAATGAGTCAGCTCTCACATCCACAAACACTAACAAATAACCTTATCACACACCTCCCATACATAGATACCATCGTCCATCCCATGTATAAGCACAGAAACCATCTCTCCCTCAAATACTCACCCTCGGTACCCAAAACATGTGAGCCTTAGGGCCCGACTGAAAAATGCAAACACGGAGCTCCAGAAACATCCTTCCCCGGCCACGGCCCTGGAACACAGTACACTCCACACACACACTCTCCACAAGCCCCGAACAGACCCACGAATAGCCCGTGCCCTGCAAACCTGCACACCTGTGTCCCCATACGTATGTCCCAAACACACTTCATGCCACGTACACACCTGCTCATACATACCCCCTCCCAAATTCCCACAGAATTCACTCTTCCATCTTGGAGAACACACAGCCACACACCCCACACCAAACCGCACAAACACTACTGTTCACCGGCATATACACCTCCACACCCTCCAAATACAGCGCTCCGCCTGCACGTTCACACACAGGCATGGCCGCCCTGTGGCCACAGCCGCCCGCAGACACAGTGTGAACCGGAGGCGCTGTCAGAGGCGGAAGAACTGTCGGGAGCCGCGCTGTTCAGAAAGCGGGGGACACAGACCGACGACCCGAGTTGGACTCACAGGCATCATTGGGCCGTGTAGGCCCACATCACTGACCCCCAACGGCCAGTGGCTGTCAATTCCCGGTGAAAACACACAGAAATATGTGAGGGTGTGGGGGCTGAGCACAGACCCGGGGCACAGAGCCCACAGGGAGAACCACAGAGAAGAGGGGGCCCCTGAGGGGAGAGGAGGCCACGCGCCCCTTACCTCCCTGTTTGCCTAACGGACTCCGGAGGCCGCCATGCCAGGCCCCGCGTGCAGCCTGGGCGGCCATTGGGGACCCGCCTGCGGTTAGGGCATGCGCGCGCCTGTGGGCGCGAACCGCTCCAATGGACGCTGGGAGCAGGTGCAGGACAGAGTCCCGCCCCCAGTGGGCGTGCTCCTGCGCCCTGGCGCGAGGCACCCTGGGAAGGGCCCAGGCTGTCCCTGCAGGAGAGGAAGGAGTGGAGGGAGGGGCCCTGTGAGGCCTCCTGCAGGTCCTCCTGCTCAGGAACCTCCCAGCGCGTTGCAGGGAGCACTTGTGACTTTAAAGTTGCAAACGTGCAGTCCATGCACTTGGCTGCCCCCTCGGGACGGACTTTGGGAGAGGCCGGCCTGAAGCACTGTCCTCGGAGGGGCCAGTGCCTTCATGCCCTTGGACTGCAGGTCCGTGGTTTCTAGAAAGTAGGTCCGTCCTCCCAGAAGTCCGAGCGTACATTGCACAATTCCGGCCAAGAACTTTAGACCTGGACACACTCTAAGAGACGCCTGCCCCTGACCCCGTTCCTCCTGTATTTATTCAGTACGTGGAGGTTTTCAATAAATATTGCTTCACAGATATTTCCGTTGCAAGGTTGTTGTGCAAACATTGATCAAGACATGACTGTCTGGGCCAGTTTCCGTTGACATGGCAGGTAGCATGGGAACAATGTCACCCTGCCCGCCCTCATTTTTTGCATTATATTGCAGAATTTCAGTTGGCAATAAAACATATAGTAGCAGAATCAACTTACTAGAGTTTGTCATATTTCAAAAGAAACTGAAATCATCTGATTTTCTTTCTGGTCATTTGCAAGAGGGGAAAGAGGCAGGAGAAAGACACATCACTGCATTTTCCATTTTGCAAAATTTGACTGTGAACCATGCAAAGGCATTACTTTAAAATCTTACAAAATGTAGAAAGTTAGACACTGAACAACATTATACCCTGAGAAACAAAAAGTGGTGGTGTCTGGTCTTGCCCTGTAGGCTGTAGGGCCTTGCCTTGATGGACTGGAGCAAAGGGGATGGTTTGTAAGGCTGGGCCGGCTGCATCTGCAGGGCTCCCAGCACTGGGCGGCACTTGGGGCCACAGGACTGCTTCCTAAGGAATGATGTGCACACAGCCACCGAGCATGCTGCCTCTGCTGGGTCAGTCCTAATTTCAAACACTGGGTTCCATGTGGCCATAAGTTCCCATTATTTCTTCAGGCTGCCTGTTCTGAATTTTGTTCAGAAAGTGTAGTCTGTGTTGAAGTCAACCAAGACCAGGTAGGAAGCAAGTTGAGGGACCCAGAACTAGGGTGATGGATCAAGAACTGAAATAAAGGGCACATCAGGTGACTTTGGGTGCCTAGAACTTAGAGAAGGTCATTACTGCTAGTGTGTCTTTAAATTTGTGATTTTAAATTTGAAAGGAACTGCTGGTCCTCGCCTACCTATCAGAGCCCTCCATGGAATGCCCCCCACCCCCACCCCAGCCCATTGGTCCTCGGCCCCTCCCCCACTGCAGAATGTCTGGAGCCCTGCATTCTACAGTTTCAACCCAAACCTTCCCTCCACTGGATGCTGAGCAGCTGTTGGAGCAGGTCAGTCTCTGGATTCTCCACTTGCCTTTTCTCATTGTGGAGGCTACTAGGCAGTGGTGGTCGGTGAATGAGCCTGCGGGGATGGCTTCAGTAGGAGGTAAGACTATAGATTGGAGAGGGGATGTTTTAAACACTGAGATGTCCCTCAAAACTTGGGGTTAAACTGTGACACTGGGGAAACACGGTTTGACTGAAGTAGGGGAGGGAGAGAGCACTGGACCTCAAAGCACCTGTCACCTGGGAGGCTGGGAGCCAATGGGAACCTGTGAGGGCACTGGCAGGAGGGCTCCTAGAGGTGGGTCAGGGAAATGCCTGGGTGTGGAGAAAGGACGGCAGCAGGCACATGCACATGGGTTCTTCCCAGAGGGGAGACAAGCCACTCCCATGTATGTGTGGGGAATAGTGGGCGATGTGGGGGTGGCACAGTGTGGTCACGGGAAAGCCTAGTCCTGTGTGCTGTTCTTGGGGCACCTGGAGCTTGCCCCGCAGTATCTTTCTAAGGGACTGGACCTGAGTTCACTAGAGCTAATGGGGGCCATGGGAGGGTTTAGCCAGAAAGCTGTCCAGTGGGGCTGCCTGTGGCCAAGTCCACAATGAAATGTCCCCCCTGAGGGCTGGGCTGGAAGGTCCTCCAACTGCTGCAGCCCAGAGCTTCTCCCCTGCTTCTGGCCCAGAGCTCACTCCTCCTCAGCCCAGGGAGCTGCTTGTTGGCTTGGATTCCACAGGGGCAGGGCAGCCGGGTAACTTCCACCAAGAGAGGTCCCGGTTCCCTGAGCTGTCCCGAATCGTTCCCCCTGTGGCCACCCAGGTCTTCAGACCGACTTCCTCTTGTGGAGCATCTCATGATGCACCCTCTGCCCTGCCCTTTACCTTTGAGATGAGGGGTTTTCTCATAGTCCACGTCCCTGCTTCAGGGACAGAAAACAGATGTGGAGCCTGCGTGGTGTCCCGTGGAACGTCTGTGAAGGCAGATTCTTTTTTAAAGGGGAAGGAGAGTGCACATGGGCAGGAAGACCATGGTCTGTGTCAGTAGTAAATGTCCGAGGCTGCCTGTCCTGAGGAATTAGGGGCACGCGGTGTGCAGCCTGCTCTCCTGGACTAGGTCTGCTCGAGTTCCTCTGAGCGGGGATGTGTTCATACAACTGTGTCCCACTGTCACCTGCTCACACCTGCTTCCTACTGGCCTTCACTTTCCACTGTTGGGAGCTGGAACGGGAAGGACCTCACACAGTCTGCAGTCCCATGACCCATCTAACAGGACAGCAGCTATGGAAGTTTCTGGAAACCCTACCGACATGGAAGTTTCTGGAAACCCTACTGACAGCTCCACTTTGCCGCATTCCCTGACCCTTCCCTAACCCTCTGCAGCCATTGCTGGCTGTGAAATGACAAGCTCCTGAGGGGCCATTAGTCTGAGCCAGTGATGGCGAACCTTTTGAGCTCGGCTTGTCAGCATTTTGAAAAACCCTAACTTAACTCTGGTGCCGTGTCACATATAGAAATTTTTTTATATTTGCAACCATAGTAAAACAAAGATTTATATTTTTGATATTCATTTTATATATTTAAATGCCATTTAACAAAGAAAAATCAACCAAAAAAATGAGTTCGCGTGTCACCTCTGACACCCCTGTCATAGGTTCGCCATCACTGGTCTGAGCGCTGGGGCCGAGTGGCAGGACCTGGCCCGTGTTGAGTGTTCACTGTTGGTTCTGACACACGTGTGCATGCTGGTCAGTGCGTTCAAGGGTCAGATCAGGGTCCCTGTGCCTTCTTGTGGAGAGACATTACTCAAGTGTTTCTGTGTTGTTGGGCAAGCCCAGGACAGAAAGGGGCGATTTTGTTGAAAAAAGGGAAGACTGAGGAGCAGATGGGGCCCTGATATTTCAGACACGGCCTGTTCTCAGAGGCCCTTTGGGTGCCTAGAACTTACCTTAGAGAAGGTCACTACAGGAGTGGGTCTGCCTGGGGTCATTTCCCCCAGAGCAGACTGCTGCCCAGGGCCATGCCCTGAGGCTGGCGGGGTCGGTGACAGGGAATCCTTAGGGCGGCTCTCAGGTTCAGCGCTGGCTGGGGCCGTTTCTTCTCGCAGACTGTGGTCAGGGAGCCTTGGCGCTGGGGAGCAAGCTCTCCAGTGGAGTTCTTCCCAAATGGAGATGGGTCATTTGGGAATTACTCCACTGGACATTGGGAATTACTCCACTGTGACAATGACCTGACGACATTTGCCACCTCCGCAATTTGCCCATCCCAATGGCCCTCCCCTGGGAGACTCACTGCTCTGATTCCCCGGTGGCTACAGGGGCCCAGAGCGCCTCAGTGCTGTTTGCTTGTTCACCTCCTCCCTTCACCCTTTCCTTTGTCGAACAGCATCTGCAGCGCTGGGAGCGGATGTGACCCTGAAGCCCGGTGCCCCCATCACTCCTTTCACAGCACAGCCCTTTCCCCTGCCCACTACTAGCCCTGCACACCGGCCACCTTGGGAGCAGCACCTGCCGCCCCTCAAGACCCCGTCATTCCCTCCTGGCCGCCCCCTGGTGCTGCCCGCTTTGCCCAGGACACCTCTGGTGGCAGGAGATGCGGGTCAAGGCCCCGTTGGGCCTGGGGCTTGTAACATCATGGACCAGGTCAGGTCAGAAGGGGGACGACCACAGCCCTCCCAGACTCAGACCATTGTCCTGACTCAGGCCCCCCTCAACGGGAGTGCTCCAGGTGCCATCTGTGGGGGTTCTGTGTGTCCTGCACCCCTCTTCTTGGAAGCCACTGCGGTGGAGATGATTATGCCCCCCTCGGCTTTTGGGGGCACCCCGGCCGGCGATGGAGGCTGGCATCCTGGCCTTCCTCCTCAAGCTCCACCACCAGCTGCCCAGCTGGCCCCCAGCGTCCCCCGAGTGGATCCTGGACCACGGCCACACACGGCTTCCAAGGAGGGGGGCCTGGCCACCTCCCAGTCCAAGGCCTCCCTGGATGACGCCTGTAACCCCAAGAGTGTGTATGAGGACTTCCGTCGTTGGCAGTGCTTCAAGGCCCTGGCCCGGGGGCACCTTCCCCAGAGTCCTGATGCGGGAGCTCTTTGCTGCTTCCTCATGTGAGTGCACTGGGCAGGGCAGGGGGCGCGCCTGGAGCTTTCACATCAGAGGAGCTGGGAGGGACTTGCAGGCTGGCTAATCCCAGGATGCTGGAGGGCAGGTCTGAGGGTGGGGTCCCAGCGATGGGTGTGAGTGTAGGGTCAGCCTCCAGTCCTGGTTCATGGGCTGGTGTGAATGTGAGGCCATGACAACAGCAGCTGGAAGGCTTGTCTTTGCACACAGACGCCTCTTCCCTCACCTGCTGGTGCTCAGTCCTGCCGGGTGGGGGTGGGAACCTGGCGCCACTGAGCTGGGGTGGGCAAGCAGGTGGAGGCCAGGCTGCAGCCATGACTGACCCTGAGGCATTACAGGCCAGCGCTCCGGTCCCTGTCCCACCTGAGGCCCACCATGACGCTGGAGGAGGGAATAGGGCAGGCCATGCAGGAATGGCAGAACAAGAGCAACTTTGACCGGAGGGTCTATTTCGAGATGGCAGAAAAGTGAGTCCTTGGTCCCCACAGCTGGGGGTGGGGGTGAGGCTGACTACTGGGCTGGGTCCAGCGGTGAGGTCTCATCAGAGAGGAGGGTGGTGGGAGGGTGTCACTCAGGACGGGGTCCCCGCTGCCCAGAGGCCCTTCTCTCCTGGGGAAGCCTCTCCCTCAGCTTCAGAGCGTGGGTGCTTCTGTCCCACCTCCCGGGAGCTCCCCCCTCCTCTGACCCTGACCCTTCCTGGGCTGGAAATGAAGGCTCAGGACAGGCTGGGGGAGGTGCCCGTCCCGTGGGCAGACTCCAGCCAGAGGGGCTGTGCAGGAGTGTCCTCAGCCAGCCTCTGCCTCCCCAGTGTCCGGGCCCTGACAGCCCCAAGGCCCTGAATCTCCCATCCCCCCACCCGCTGCTGCCTTTCTGGGCTCCCAGGGCCTCCTTCTCAGCACAGCTGTGCCCCCCTCAACGGCAGGTTCATGGAGTTTGAGGCGGGGGAGCAGATGCAGTTTCAGAAGTTGCAGTTGAAGAAGGGGGCGCAGACCCAGCCCCTTCCTGCCCCACTGAGACCTGATCCTCCGGGGCCCCCAGCCCCAGCGGTTGGCAGGCAGCCAGGTAGGCCAGCACGTTCCCATGGGAGCAAATGGCCAAAGGCAACAGGGCCTCGGGCAGGCCACTGTCCTGCCCACAGGGGCCCTTCCCCTTCAGGGGGGCTTTGGTCTTTCAAGGGAAACAGCCCTGAGAGTTGGGCCTCAGCGGCCATTTGTCTGAATGGGGTCTGGACCTGGTCCACTTTCTCATCCCCTCGCCCCGCTCCCTGTCAAAGGCCCCACATGAATCTGCTGAGAAGCAGGCTGGCTGCGAGGCCCCTTGGAGATTCAGTGGCTCCACACTTCCTCAAACATGACTCTCTTGGGTGCTCCCCTCTGGCCTCTCCCCACACATAGTCACAGGCTTCAGGTGGCCCGACCCAGCCGCACCCATATTAATGCCCCCAACACTGCCCTCAGCATCGCATGCCCTGGAGGTGGGAGCTTTATCCCCTCACGCTCCCTCCTCTTCCCTCTCTGCCCAGCGCGCAATACCAGGAAGGCTGTACCCAGCGCCCAGTGCGCCCACACAGCCCCGCTGCCCCAGGAGACTGAGTCCCGCAATGGGATCCCTCCTGAGGCCGAGCAAGAGGACATGGACATCATGGATGAGCCGCCCATGGGGGCGCCAGGTGGAGGATGGGAAGATGAAGAAATGGAGTGGCTGCAGGATGAAGATCTCCTGAGCTACCTGGACCAGCTGTGCTCCCAGGAAGACTTTGTCACCCAGGTGGGCTGGCTGGCAGCTCCGGGTCTATAAGATCCCAGAGGGTGGCGCTGCAGCACCCAGACCCGGGTTCTCCAGGCTGATGGGATTGGGCTCTGCTCTTTGTTCCTGAGCTGGATGGGTGAGAGTGTGTGTGTCTGTGTGCATGTGTGTGCTTTGTGTGTGTGTGGTGTGTGTGCTGTGTTCATGTGGGTGTGCCTGTGTGTGTATGTGCATGTATGTGTGTGTGTGTGTGTGCGTTTGTGCGTGTGTGCATCTGATGACCATGATGGAGTAAAACACCCACCTGAGCAGGAGGCCGAGTGGGTCTTGGCTTTCCCACTTGTGCTCCAGGCCCCGCTGACTCCCAGTTTGCTCCCTGCCAAGGGGCTCACAGCCGCTTCCTTCTGTCCCAGGTGGAGGAAGTCATTGACCTCCAATTCATGGAACAAATAATTTCGCCAGACGCACAACAGGATCCCTTGGCCCTAGCTGAGGAGTTGGAGCAGGAAGAAGGGCTTACTGCTGCCCAGGTGAGCCAGGGGAGGGTGGACATTAGGGAGATGGGAGGGGGTCCCCAAGTGAGCCATAGCACCCAGGAACCCCAGGGGAGTTAGAGGAGGGAAAGGCCCTAGTGAGTCAGGGAGGAAGGGAGGTTGATCGGGGGTGGGAGGCCTTCAGGGAGCCAGGAAGGGCACACCCAGGTAAACCAGGGCAGGGAGCAACCCAGAACCAGAACACACATGCCTGTGTCCACGCCACCCCTGCCTGCAGGCACCGCATGCCGAGGGGCCAGTCCTGGGTGGGAGGAGGGCAGGACAACAGAAAGGAGAGGGCTACAGAGAGGAGGGGGTGGGAGCCCAGAAGGGGAGGGGCCACAAAGCTGGGAATATGGCACAGGGGACAGAGGAGAGACACATGACTGTGGTGGATTCCAGTCATGGTGTCACCTCTCCCTCCCCGCCCCCCCTCCCCCGTGCCATTGTCCCATCACCCACGCTCCTGCTCCTCTCACACGTGAGCAGCGCCAGTCACTGTCCCTTCTTCCTCCCAGCTGGTAGAGAAGCGAGTCCTGGCCTCCAAGGAGGGGGGCGTGCAGGCACCCCCGAGTCACGGTGCTCCCCTGTGGGACTCAAGTCCTTCTGAGTCTGCGACCAGCCAAGATGCCCAGAGACATGACCGTGGCCCCCAGCTGGGGGTCAGTGACAAAGCCCGCCCACCAGAGACTGACTTCAAGGACCAGCAAAGGCGCGGCCCAGCAGGCGCCCACCGGCCCAGGCCCCAGGCTTCTGCTGTCTCTGCGGGGCGTCAGGAGCACCCACCACTCTGGGCTCGATGCCCCCCGCTGCTCCCCAGGGCCACGGGCCTGCTGACTGTGCACTGGGCCCCAGGGAGGCCTGCGTCCCCAGAGAGGCCTCTCCTGTCAGGGAGACTCGCGGGCCAGCGGACAGGCCCCGTGAGGAGGACGAGGCCTCAGCCGAGCTGCACCTGCAGTGTCCAAGTCTCAGAAGCGGGCTCTGGGGGGAGGCCCCGTCCATGCTGAGAAGACCCCCCGCCCAGGTGTCGACCTCGGGGTCTGTGGGCGGCCAGCACTGGCTCTGGGGCTGGTGCCCTCCTCACAGCCTCGCAAGAGGAAGTGTGACCCATCTGACCCAGGGAGTGGGAGGAAGCGGCACTGCAGCCAGGATGGAGCAGAGGGGTGTGCCCTCCACTGCCAGCGCCCCGAGGTGCCCAGACTGCATGGGGCCTGGCTGTCCCCCAGAGGAGCCAAGGGCTCCTTCTCATCGCAGGGCTGATCCTGCTGCTCCACTGACATGGGAGGGTGGGAGGCAGGAGGGAGGGCGGGACCCTTAGGGCAGGGGTGGGTCTGGGGTGGGGGTAGGAGGGAGGGCAGGACCATTAGGGTAGGGCTGGGCCTGGGGAGGGAGGGAGGGCAGGACACTTAGGGTGGGAGTAGGTCTGGTTGGGGGTAGGAGGGAGGGCAGGACCCTTAGGGTGGGGGTGGGTCTGGGGTAGGGGTAGGAGGGAGGACAGGACCATGAGGGTGGGGGTGGGGGTAGGAGTAGCACCTTTGGGACATTGTGGGTCTGTTATGAATAAAGATAATTTTGTTTGAAAATGCTCTGGGGGCCGCTGTGTCTGTACTCGGGTCTGCGCTGCTCCTTGGAGAGGGGACCTGAGAGGAAGGGAGGATGCGGGAGGTCCTGGGAGCTCTGCATCCACAGGGGATCCTCAGTCCCTCCTCCTGATTCATAGGGACCTCTTCCTGCTCCTGGGAGCACAGAGCTCTCTAATGCCCAGGGACCCCTCCCATCACTTCTGCTCCCAAGGCCAGACTGTGCCCTGACCCGAGAGGGAAAGGCTGGGCCTCAGGGGCACCTGTCCACCATGGGCCTCCTGCAGGAGGAGCATCCTCTGTCTCAGTGTGTGATTGAAAGTGGAGGGGGGTGGGGGGGAGTCTGGAACAAGGGGGTGACAGGAAAGTAATGGCGACAAGCCTGTTAAAGGTGGGTACACGGGGAATGGCAGGGGTGGGGAGGATACCAAGTCCCTTGGGGGATTTCTGTGTGGGACCATCCTGTCCAGCTGGGGGAGGAGGACCCCTCTGCTGTGGCTGGGGGACGGGGCTCAGGGACAACGGGGATTCAAGGATGCCCACGACTGCTGTCCCTTTCCTCCCAACCAGGGCTGGTCTCTTGTGTTATAGATGCTGATGCAGATTTATATCCGCGTAGGAAACAGGTCTTACTCACAACCTGTGGGGCCCTTTCACAAGCACGACCAGCAGGGGCGGCAGGGGCCCAGGTGCGTGTGGCCCCAGGGCTGGTGGCAGCTGAGATCCAGGCTGAGGGAAGGGCCCCGTCACCTGCTGTGGGCACTGCTACCGACCACACGGACAAAGCAGGGACCCGGGCACGGATGTAAGAGTGAGATGAGCCAGCAGTGAGGGACAGAGCTGAGCCAGGAGGAGACCCCTGTCTGCAGAACTGCCTGTCCCAGTTCTGCTCCCATGTGGCCACGCCCTGGCCCTCACCCCTGCCTCCTGGCCATTGCCTCTTCCCCAAGTTCAAGTCTGATTCCTGCCCTGTGCTCAGGTTGGGTGGGATGGCTGAGGCTCCCAAGCAAGGCCCCAGCCCACCCAGGATGCAAAGCTGTGGCCCCAGGCGGTGGTCCGGCAGCAGCGATGGGATGGGGCTGAAGCTGTGCAGTGAAAGAAGGCCTGGCCCTCTGCTGCCCCCACAAAGAGCTCGGGTGAGAATGGATTCATGTCAGGGCCCTCACCCCCTCCCACAAAATCGCAGGTCAGCCCTCAGGTCCTCTGCTGCCTTCCCTTGTCCCATGTGGCGGGCAGCACCCACTCTCCCAGCCTCCTGGGCACTTTGTGGAGGAGACTTCTCACCTGGGTCCGTCTTTCCCCGGCCGCTGCCCCCTCCCTGTCCAGCTGGGTCTCAAACAGAGAAACGGGCTTGGAGGTTGTGCCAGACTCTGTGTCGTGGGGCTGGTCCAGAAGCTGCCTCCCCTCCCGGGTGAGCATCCTCCCCATGGGCCCCGTTGTGTCCCTGCCTGGGTGGCAGGCCCTGGATGCAAATGTGTGGGTGAAGGCCAGAGCCTGGACCCTCAGTCGCTGGTGCGAGTTTGTCCTGCAAATTCTCTGCTTTCAGGGTCTTGGTGGTGAAACAGGTTAACCACTCCCCCTCCTCCAAGGTGTCAGGAGCACTGAGTTGTGTTTGAAGGGAACACACTTGCTCCACCCCTGTGTGCCCTGTCACTGTCATTAGATTCTCACCTGGCCCCAGGTGTCTCTGCGCCTGTCCTCACTCGCCTGCTGTTTCTGCCTTTGAGTCATTGTTTGGATGAACAGTTCCCAGGGGGAGGCAGAGCCTGGGCTGCCCCCACCTCGGAGCCCTGGGAACCCCGAAATCCCCCTGGAACCTGCACACTGGGGCAGACTGGAGGCCTATTGCTGCTTCAATCGTGGGCAAGGCCAAGTCCACGGGGTACGTGGAATCCTGGAGAGATTTGCACATTAGCGTTTGGAAAATACTAGGGTAGGTGCAATGGGGAGAAAAGGGAAGAAGTGTTTCATATTTCCCTGCAGCCAACCTTCTTTATTACAAACGTATTACAGGCAGTTCTGCAGACCTAAATAAAATGAACTGGGTTTGAAATAAATGAATGGAAAATAAACTTGACATGACACCCTGGAGGGCAGCGCATAAGGCAGGAAGCAGGTCTGCGCTCCTAGTGACTGAAGTAGAATCTGTGGAAACGGCAATGCCCTCGCATCACTCCTCCCGGGAAATCACGATGCTCATATGGAGAAGGTGCTCCCTGTGTGCTCAGCGCTCTCTGCTGCTTCTCTTCCTTGTAGGTCCTGGTGGGGCTGCGAATGGGGGGTAGGGGGAGTAATATTGTAATATTACCTCCTCCCTTAGAGAGCCTGGGAGTGAGTTCTTTTCCCCTGTTTTTCTGTGAGGAAAGTACACCTGGGAAGGTCAGGGTACTGAGTGCAGGTCCCACACCAGGAACTGGGACAGCCTGGGAGGCACCAGGCAGGTTTGGCTGCAGAGACTTCCTCCTTCTCCGCGTGGAATCAATCCCCTGGAGGAAGCCCTGGCATCCTGGGGAAATCCCAGTGACATAGGACTGACCTGTCACCACCCTCATGACTCGGAGCGGCATCTCAGTGCGGATGGAGATTGCGTTTCCCTGATGTTGAGCATCTTTTCTCTGCTTCTGGCCACGTGTACATCTTCTATGGAACAATGTGCCCTCATCGTTTGCCAACGTTTAGTTGGTTTGGCTTTTATTATTGAGCTGTAAGAGTTCTTTATATATTCTAGGTAAAAGTCTTCCCAGAGATATGGTTTCCACTAAATTCTCCCATTTTGTGGGCTGTCCTTTACTTTCTTGAAAGTGTCTTTGGAAGGAAAAAAGTCTTAACTTCTAATGAAGCCCAATTTATTTATTTTTTTTTCTTGTGTTGCTTTGGTGTTTGGTGTTATATCTACAAATCTGTTCACAATCTACGTTATGGAAATGTATGCTTATGATTCTTTTTTTTTAAACCATCTTTACCATTTTTACATGTACACTTCAGTGGTGTCAACTACATTTGCATTGCTGTGTCACAGATTTCTAGACAATTGTCATTTTTCAACCTTGGATCTCTATACAGATTAGACACCAATTCTCCTACCTTCTTCCCCAGACCTTGACAACCACCTTTCTATGTTCTACCTTTGACTTTGACTACTTTAAATACTTAACGTGAGTAGAATCATAACAGTATTTGTTCTTTTGTGACTTGCTTATTTTACTTAACATAATGTCCTAAAGGCTCATCCTCGTGTGACTCACTTTCCTTGTTTTCAAAGCTCTTGGTTTGTACAGACCACATTTCTTTACTTTTCATCTGCTGATGGACATTGGGGTTTCTATTGGCTATTGCAAAAAAAAAATGTAGCAATGAATGTGGGTGTTCAAATATTTCATTTGAATATTTTACTTATTTATTTATTTATTTATTGTTTTATTTTTTAATCCTCACCTGAGGATTAAAATCAGTGAGCAAGTAAGATGATCACCTAAAGCATCTAATATGCTTTTTGTAATTGCTATTGAAAATCATGCCATCGTTTTAACAATCCTTACTTTGTAGGTGATCATCTTACTTGCTCACTGATTTTGAGATTGTCTTTTGAATTCTACTGTTTTAAGAAGTGTAGCTGGGTTCAGGTTAAAATATTCTCTATCCTCCTCCTGACCTCTTTTGCTTCATTAACTGACAATACACATTCTTCATCAACTCTAGAAAATGTATCATCTTTTTAATGTTGCATCTCCTCATCTTCTCTTGTCACTACCCCTACAACCCCAAAAATATGTATACTGTCCCATCCTATGTATTCTCTATGTCTTTATCTGCTCAGGCTGCTACACTGAACACGACAGAGTGGTTTAAACAAAAATATTTATTTATTTTCTTCATTTCTAACTTAAATTAAAATTTTCTCAATTACAGTTCATATTCAATATTATATTACTTCCAGATGTGTTACATAATGGTTAGACATTTCTATAACTTACAAAGTGATCCTTCTGGGAAGTGCTGCACCCATCTGACAGTATATATAGTTATTACAATATTATTGACTATATTCCCTAAGCTGTAGTTTACACCCCTACGACTGTTTCATAAATGTCAATTTGTGCTTTTTAATCCATTCGGCTTTTTCATCCACTCCATGCAACCCCCCTCCCATCAGGCAGCCATCAGTTTGTTCTCTGTATTTATGAGTTAGGGTTATTGATAGGTATATAGTTATTACCATTTTATTATTTATATTTTACCTCTTTTTTCTTCTTCATCTTATTAAAGAAGTCCCTTTATCATTTCTCATAATATTGGTTTGGTCCTGATGAACTCTTTCAGTTTTTTCTTATCTGGGAAGATCTATATCTTTCCTTTGATTCTAAATGATAGCCTTGCTTGGTAATCTTGATTGTTGGTCCTTGATATTTGTCACTTTGAATATTTGTGTCAATCCCTTTTGGCCTGCAAAGTTTCTGTTGAGAAATCAGCTAATGGTCTTATGGGAGCTCTGGTTTACATTACTATCTGCTTTTCTTTTAGTGCGCTTTTCAGATTCTCTGTCTAACGCTTGGCATGCTAATTATATGATGTGTCTTGGCATGGGCCTCATTTGGTTCATTTTTTTTTGGGGGGGGGGACTCTGCACTTCCTGGACTTGTATGTCTATTTCTTTCACCAGCTTAGGGAAGTTTTCCATCATTATTTCTGCAAGTAGGTTTTTAATCCGTTGACTCTCTTCTCCTTCTTTTACCCTTGTGGTGTGAATGTTGTTACTCTTGATGTTGCCCCAGAGGTCCCTGAAACCACCCACATTTTAGGGGGGAGTTCTTTTTTTTTTAAAATATATTTTATTGATTTTTTACAGAGAGGAAGGGAGAGAGATAGCCAGAAACATCGATCAGCTGCCTCCTGCACATCTCCTACTGGGGATGCGCCAGAAACCCAGGTACATGCCCTTGACCGGAATTGAACCTGGGACCTTTCAGTCCACAGGCCAAAGCTCTATCCACTGAGCCAAACAGGTTTCGGCGAGGCGGGGGGAGTTCTTTTTTCTTTTCTCTTTGTGTGTGTTCTGTTATTTTGACTTCCATATCATTGATTCAGTCCTCGGGTTTCATCTAATCTGTTGTTGATTGATTCCTTTGTATTCTTCATTTCAGTCATCGTACCCTTTATTTCTGACTGGTTCTCATTCATGTTTTCTGTCTCCTTTTTTACATTTCCTATCTCTTTGTTAAAGTTCTCACTGAGATCATCTGTTCTTCCCCTAAGTTTGCTGATCATCCTTATGAGCGGTGTTTGAAATCTGCATCTGGTAGATTGCTTGTCCCCATTGTTGAGTCCTCTTTCTGGAGTTTTGTCCTTTTCTGTCATTCGGGACATATTTCTTTTTCTCTTCATTTTGGTTGCCACCCTGTGTCTCTTTCTATATATTGGGTAGATCTGCTATGTGTTCCGGTCTGGGCAGAGCAGCCTTATGTAGTAGGTGTCCTGTGAGTCCTAGTGGCACAGTCTCCCTGATTTCCTAAGCAAATCTCCAAGGGTGTCCCACCAGTGGATTTTGTGTGCTCTCCTGTGGTAGTTGAGCCCCGATTGCTGTTGGCACATGTGTTGGTGGAACTGACACTCAGGGTTACTGCTTTTGAAGTATTGTCATCACTACAGTGGACAGCTGTTGTGTGGAATTTGAGTGGGATTCATTTGAGCATGGCCAGTGCCGGCCATGTTCACCTTTTGGTGTTTCCTTTTTGGCATTACGTGGGTGGTGCTTCGGTGTGGTCTGAAGACAGCCACCAGGCATATTGATACTAGAGCCTTTTGGGAGGGGTTCTGGTGCAGGTTCAGGTCAGCCCCTATTTGTGTTTGGCCTGGGGCCACACGGTTGGAACTACAACGTGATCTGTGGTTGGTTGTTGCTTCTCCTGGGTTTAGTGGCACCCGGGAGTGGTTGTGCTGTGAACTGAGGCTGGCTACCACTAGGGCTGCTTTGCAAAAGGTACAGGGCCTGCCGAGGTCTGCTGTTGCTTGTTTGGGATTTACGAACCTGTGATAGATTTTAGAAAACTGCATAGTGTTGGCCCAGGTTGGTCGCTTGTGTGGGTTAACTTCTGAAAGAGATTCTGGCAGGCCTATGAATTGGGTGGGGCAAGAGAACCACCGGTGTGGGGCAGGTTAATGGAGACTCACATTTGGCACCAGCCTTTAACTGCAGGCTGTGTATATGTGGGAGGTGAGGGAGAGGGCTCACAAAGGAACAATGGGTCCTGCCATCACTTTATTCTAGCAGAAAGCTGCTCCACCGAACCTCGCCCTGAAGCCGGACAATTCAGTCCCTCCCACATGTGCCTGGTGCCTTTCAAACTCCTGACCCTTTACTGGAATTTGGACGGGTTTTGGTGAGCAGGTGTGTCTGTGCTCAAGCTCTTTAGGAGGATGCCTGGGCCTATAGCAGCCCTCCATCTCACCGGGACTGAGTTCCTACTGATTTTCACAACCAGCCACCGTGGGAACTCTTTTTCCTGACACTGGTGCTGTCGGCTGGGAGTTTGATTTGGGGCTGAAACCCCTAGCTCCTCAGTGGGGACATTCACTGCTGGGATAACCCTCCGAATTCTTACCTGCCACAGGTGTGTGGGGAACCAGCTGTTGTTCGTCTTTGCCCCTCTTTCCAGTCTCAACGTGGCTTCTGCTTTAGATCATGTTATAGAAGTTCTCTTCAGCTAGTCTTCAGGTGGTTTCCAAGAACTACTGTTTGATCATTTATTTGTAATTTTGCTGGAATCACAGGAAGAGGTGAACAGAGTGCTTTCTTGCTCTGTCATCTTGACCAGAAGAACAACATTACTTCTTAAACAGAGACTTACTTCCCATGGTTTTGGAGGCTGGAAGTCCAAGATCATGTTGCCAGCAGACTCTATGTGCATGCATTTCCCTTTCCTATTTTCTGACTCTTTCTTTTCTGGGCTACGCTTTATTTAATTTAGTACAGTGACATTCCACCTCATGAATTTCTTCTTTTGCGAAATTTTGCAAAAATGTGATCTTATCTACTTTCCCCCCATTTACTTTAAAATACAACTGTGTAATGTTTGTAACATTCAATTTCATTATATGTTATAAATATATGAATTTTCAATAGTCAAGATTTAATAACAAATAATGGCTACTGCTTTATTCAGAATATTCTTATTTTGTGATTGAGAAAACATCCTCACCCGAGGATATGTTTATTGATTTTAGAGAGGGAGGAAGGGGAAGAGAGAGAGAGAAAGAGAAAGAGAGAAACATTGATCTGAGAGAGAAACATCAATTGGCCGCCTCCTGCACATGCCCTGACCAGGGATTTCACCTGAAACCTAGGTGTGTGCCCTGACCGGGAACCAATCCCACCACCGTTCAGTGTATGGACAATGCTCCAACAAACCGAGCCACCCACCCAGGGCTGTTCAGAATATTCTTAACTGAAACTGGCACTTTTCATGACGAGTGTGTGATAGTGAAAACAATTCCTACTAATGCAGTTTGGTGTCACTCTTTGATCTGGTTGAGGTACTGCCATTGCTTTTGCCCCATCAGTGTACATGGCACTCCATTGTTCCAGGATGAATCATAAGAGTCAAGAAAATTAACTAACAATTGAAATATTTCAGCACCATTTTTCTTGGAGATTAATAAAGATCTTCAATGATTAGTTGGTGCTGATGCTGAACAAATGCATGGAAAACAGCAAGTCCATTGATTTGTGAGACAAAAGTGCTGGAAGTTATCAACCTAATTTCCAGTTTGAATCCTTAACTGAATAATTGGAAAGTGGCAGGGCTACCATTTTTTCCCCACTGTGCATCTTTTTTTAAAAATATATTTTATTGATTTTTTACAGAGAGGAAGGGAGAGAGATAGAGAGTTAGAAACATCGATGGGAGAGAAACATTGATCAGCTGCCTCCTGCACATCTCCCACTGGGGATGTGCCCGCAACCCAGGTACATGCCCTTGACCGGAATCGAACCTGGGACCTTTCAGTCCGCAGGCCGACGCTCTATCCACTGAGCCAAACCGGTTTCGGCCCCACTGTGTATCTTAACAGACAGCTTGTAAGAGTGTGCAGCTGAAGTGGCTTTGTTTGAAGGACCTTGTTAAGCGATGGGCAGAGGGCCATGTGTTCCCAGAAGAATGTGGACGCTCTGGATTTCAGGTGGCCTTCTTTTCAGACAGGGGTGATTCTGCTGGCAACTAATCAGGAAGCTGGCTGGTGTCCTTGGCACTGCTGCCATCCCATGCACAGTAGGGATACAAGGGACTGAAGGGGGATGGGATAGTGGACACCCTCCCTGATAGCAAAGAGCCATTGCCTGTTGTCTCCTCACCTCCACTGCCTATACAGACATGAAGGGTGATAGCTTCCTGTTTAATAAATGCTATTGATTGTACACTGACGACCTGAGGAGTCTCAAATACTGACTTCTCGCTACTCAGCAGCACAATGGAGACATGGAGGGTGGTCAATAGAAGTCATTAAGGATTTTGTTTGAGGCAAACTTGCTTATTCTGCAATATGTGCTTCTTTACTTAATTGGGGTCAGGCTGGTCTGTATTTGTAAAAATGATGTTGAGAGTATTTGAAAAATGAAAGATTGGCCCAACTGGTGTGGCTCAGCAGTTGAGCATGGACCCAGGAACCAAGAAGTCTCCAGTTTGATTCCCAGTCAGGGCATGTGCCCAGATTGTGGGCTCAATTCCCAGTGAGGATGTGTGTGGGAGGTAGCTGATCAATGATGTTCCTCTCTCATCAATGTTTCTATCTCTCTCTCCCTCTCCATTCCCCTCTATCTCTACAAATCAACAAAAGCAAGTGATTAAGACTGAGAGCTGGCAGACTGGCAAAGTGGGCTGATTGGTCCCACCTTCTTGCAGCCAAGGCTGTGGAGACAGACACAAACATAAGAGCAGTGGATTGTTAGGAGCTTCAACACAAAGACAGTGCCTGACAGTGGTCAGCACATAACTACCTAACAGGAAGCCCAGAATTGGCAGCTAGAACAAAAGAGTGGGGTCCTAAACTAGCCCCTTTGGGGTATTAAAATATGGCTGAAGCAAATAACACTTATTATTTTTTCTTTTAAATTAAAAAAATTTTAGTATTAGTTATTTTATTTTTAATTGTTATTTATTTTTCTTTTTTTCACCTTTTTCTTCCTGATTCTCCCTTTTGTATCCTGTTTTTCTTCTTCTTTCCTGCTTTAGTTTTTCTCTCTCATTCTTTTGATCTCTTTTTAAAAATTGGTCTTCTTTATCTCCTTTATTGATGTGTTATTATTACTGTAGTCTCTCTTGGCTTATTCATATATCTAATTTCCTCTTCCCTACAACTACTCCATTTCCCCTTCTCTTTTTTTTTGCTATTCATTTTTTCTCTCTCTCCTCTCTTTTCTTCTCCTAATTTTTTAATTAGTTTCACTTCCTTAATTCAGGCCTATCTGCTCTCTTCTCTATTCTCCTTTTAAAAAAATAAATAATTAAAACTTTTTTTCTTCTTATCCACTCATTCTTGTTCTCCATTTTCTATACTACACCATGGTCCTTCCCCTATTCATCCAATTCCTTAACTTTATTTTCTGCATTTGAGCTCTGCCCCTACAGATTCTGCCCCCCTTTTTTCTGATTGTTTTTTATTTGTGCTTTTTGGTTTAGCTGTTTGTTTTGTTGTATTTTCTCCCCATAGGGAAAGGTGAGGACTGCAATCCAGGTTGGAGAGAGAAATGCATGTCAGGGCAGTCTGCGCCCCACAAAGCCCGTGGCCTTTGGGGCCAGGTGATCCGTAAGTGTGGAAGGGGATCCAAGGGGTGCTGGCAGAAGGGTGCTCTAAAAATTATCCCATAGCTGGATTGGGCGCAAAAAGGCAGCCTCGGATTTTACCAGTGTGCCGGCTGCTTAGTGCCAGGGGAAAAAGGATGTGCAGAAGAGATGTTTGGAGAATTGTGTGCAGAGCTGGACGGAGAGAAAGAGCTACATAACCAGACACCCGGAGAAGAGAGATCATGGGGAGACAAAGAAATAGGCCACAAACGAAAGAAAAGGAGGCATCACCAGAAAAGGAAGTAAACAAAAAGGAGGCAAGCAATATGTCAGAGAAAGAATGCAGAGAAATGGTCATAAGGTGGCTGAAAAGAATGGAAGACAAATTCAACAATATGTGTAAGAACCAAGAGGAAATGAAGAAGAACCAAGAAGAAATGAAAAATGACATCGCTGCTATAAAGAACTCAATAGAAAGCATCAACAGTAGACTAGAAGAAGCAGAGGACTGCCATCAGTGAGCTAGAAGACAAGGTAGGAAAAAATACCTAAGCACAGCAACATCTAGGAAAAAAAAATACTTAAAAAACAGGAGGAGAGCCTAAGGAAACTTTGGGACAACATGAAATGAAACAACATCCACATAATAGGGGTGCCAGAAGGAGAGGAAACTGAGCAAGGAATAGAAACATGTTTGAAGAAATAATGACAGAAAACTTCCCTGATATAGGAAAGAAAACACACAAATCCAAGAAGCTCACAGGTCCCAAACAAAATGAACCCCAAAAGACCGACACCAAGGCACATTATAATTAAATTGGCAAACACCAACGACAAAGTAAGAATCTTAAAAGTGGCCAGAGACAGAAAGTTATCTAAAAAGAATCCCCCATCAGACTAGTGACTGATTTCTCAACAGAAACACATCAGGCAAGAAGGGAATGGAATGAAATATACAAAGTCATGCAAAGGAAGGGTCTGAATCCGAGAATACTATACCCAGCAAGGCTATCAATCAAGATTGAGGGTGAAATAAGGAGCTTCACAGACAAAAAAGGACTATGGGAGTTTATTACCACCAAACCAGCAACGCAAGAAAATGCTAAAGGGTCTGCTGTAAAAAGAAGAAATAGGAAATGAAGAAGGAACACAGGCGTAAAGAATAAAAATGGCCACAAACAAATACCTATCAATAATAACTTTAAATGTTAATGGATTAAATGCCCCAATCAAAAGACATAGGGTAGCTGAGTGGATAAGAAAACAGGACCCATATATCTGCTGTCTACAGGAAACCCACCTCAGAAAAAAGGACTCACACAGACTGATGGTGAAGGGATGGGAAAAGATTTTTCAGGCGAATGGAAATGAAAAAAAAAGCTGGGGTAGCAATACTTATATATGACCAATTAGATCTCAAAGTGAAGGACATAACAAGGGATAAGGAAGGCCACTTCATAATACTAAAGGGAGCAATCCAACAAGAAAATATAACTCTGGTAAACATATACGCACCCAAAACAGGAAAACCCAAATACATAAAAAAAACTTCTGGAGGATATCAAGGAAGAGATTGATAGCAATACAGTCATAGTAGGGGACTTTAATACCCCACTATCACCATTGGACAAATCCTCTAAACAAAAAAAATCAGCAAAGAAACATCAATCCTAAATGATGCACTAGATCAGATGGAATTAATTGACATCTTCAGAACATTTCACCCCAAAGCCACAGAATATACATTCTTCTCAAGTTCACATGGGTCATTTGAAAGATAGACCATATATTGGGTCACTGGAAAGTCTCTTCAAATTCAAGAAGATAGAAATCATATCAAACATCATCTCAAATCACAATGGCATAAAATTAGAAATCAACTACAATAAAAACAATAAAAAACCCCAAACAACTGGAGGCTAAATAGCA